GTTGGCCCAGTGCGGGTTGATTTCACACATATCTTTGAATTTCCTCCCATATATGTGCAGATTGCATCACCATGTTTTCCTTCAGCCTTAAATTGTGATATTTATTTACTATATATTTTTTTTTAATTTTGCGTCGCAGTTAATTCATTATATTTCTCTTAAGCATTCGTAAGCATAGCATTAGGACAATTTTAACGTGACCTTTAGTATTCAAAAATTTATCATTATATATGTACAATTTACCCTTTCAGCAAAACTTTATAATAATACACTTAGAATGATATAAAACAAACACAAAAACACACACAAGCTTGTTTATTATTTAAGAGTCTCGTCTCATCTCAACATGACAGAAGACTCTCAGGGCCGCAAAATTAAATTTACAAACAAACATTCGCCACGTAAATCCGTACGGGACTGTGACACATTAACTGTGTCCACAAACTACAAATAAACACTAGATGAGAGCCTACTACAAAATAAAACTATGGTTAAAGTCTACAGATTGAAGTATTAATAAATAAACAGACATTATTAATTATTTCATTCAACATCAGCTCTTTATACGTCCCCACTGAAAGACTCGGAGCCTTCACTGAGTTAGGGGTGACTAGGCCATAATCAACCACGTTGGCCCAGTTCACACATATCTTTGAGTTTCTTCACGATGTTTTCCTTTACCGTAAGAACATCGTTTAAATGTACATATGTAAATCGAAAATCAATAAACACATTGGTACATGACGGAATTTGAATCCAGAACCTGCAGAGTGCAAGTCAAGTGTTTAGTCCTTGAGCCATTAACCTTAATTATTTAATTAAATACAGATAACAATTAATTTCCAAACACAACAGGTAAACATTATCACAGGTAAATCTCAGTCTTTTCTATGGAAATTGCTCGAACAAATGAACGTGGCCACAGTTGAAGTCAAAGCGTATAAAGTCATTTTAATCTAAGATCTATAAAAACTTTTTTTAATGATATTCGATTTTCGAACAATATATAACCACTAGTATTATTAATTTATCAAAGAATAAAAAAAACACCTGAGAAATTGTATAAACGAGGAATAGTGATTTTTTATTCATTTCTGTATAACAAAAGTGAACCAGCACTAAGCTTTGACGTAAAAGAAAACCTCGTATACATTCCGCGGATACCTTCCTCGTCTTTAACTTTTAATTTCCCTCTCTTTTTAGGTCACCTCCTTTATGATCTTAACATTTATACATTTTACTCATTTTAACAGCCTGCACTGACACTTATATATTTTAAAATTTGTAGCTTATAGATTTAATGTACAGTACTTTGACAAGTTCGTGAACTATAACTTGATTGAGTTTAAAAGGATAAACAATTGAAAAAAAATCGTTTCAAAAACATAATGTGTCATCACTCTCAATCTTACTAATATTATAAACTAGCTGTCACCCGCTACCCCGTCCGCGTGGATATATAAAAAAACTTAATATATAGATAAGATAAATAAAAAGCAGCTTTTTAAGGCATAAAAAAATCGAAAAAAATGAATAAATGGTATCCTATGTCCGTCTCCTGGCTCTAAGCTACCTCCTCACCAATTATCAGCCATATCGGTAAAGCCGTTCTTGCATTATAAATAGTGTAACTAACACGACTTTCTTTTATATATCCAGAACGGCTGAACGAATCCGGCTGAAATTTGGCATAGACGTAGAACATAGACAGAAACACAAAGACTACTAATTAAGTTTTTTTAATTCCGCGTGGACGGAGTCTAGGCAATAGGCAATTTTTGTTGTTGAATTTTTATTATTTCCATGGAAGACGACTAACTCAGTCACGAGTACTCAATAAAAGATGTGGGTACTAACAAAAGCAATCGTCCTTTCTTACTACATACATGCTATACGTTAAATCAAAGTAGGTATAATAGATCTCAAGACGTTAGAGCGCGTGAGTGTACTTCAATCTCCTTGAAGTTCCCTCGGGGCGGGCTGAGCTACTCGGCTCGCAAATCTTGCGTTTAATTGATGGGCTTTAAATGGAACAAAACATAGAAAATAAACCACCAAACCATATGTAACGACAAAAAATTTTCCTTAAGAATTTATGTTAGGAGTAAGTCCTTTTAAATTAAATAAATTTCTGTGCAATAATTTCCCTAATCTTCTTCTTCTTCTTCTAGCTCTACAACCAAGGCCCGGTTTGGTCCAGCAACTTAATTTCCCTAATCTAGGGGATAATATATAAACGAAAGTTTCGGAGACTTATCTTTAAATATGTTTTAATTTGCCAAAATAGACATTAACAATATCTAAGCTCTGTGGTAAATGATACAAAATAATTCATTCAGACAATACGAAATTCCTATTTATTAATAAAACGTTATGTTAATTTAAAAAAGAAATGAATTAAACCGGAAAACAGATTGCGGCCTGGACTCGAATCCCTCATAAATACATTAAAGAAAGATTCATGGCTTAAGAGGGTCGTTATAAACGAACGCCCTCTGTCCGAACGAAGGGATGCGTACTCATAACGGCGATAAAAGGATTAGAAAATCTTAATAAATTTCAAAAGCTCCAAAATATTGGAATACCCATATGGTATTCAATTAAATCACATTATTACCAACTGACATTTTAATGAATCCATTGAGCGTCTTTTCATTTATACTTTAGATTTTCTACTAACTTAATTGGTCCGTAATGTAAAATTTTAATGCATAATACAAACCCTAATTACTTTAATTCGTGGCTTAAGACTTAAATCTAAAGAAAACTTTTTATATAATGACTGATTTACACTAAAACATTTAAATATTTACACAATTTATTAGAGGTTTGAAACTTAGTAATAATTATTATACTAAAATATCATCATCATCAACCTGCCCTTATCCCTACTGAGGGTCGGCACAGTATGTACTACTCCTCCATACATCTCTATCAGCCGTCATATCCGAGTCTACCCCCTTCTCACGCATATCCTCTTTCACACAGTCATTCTATGCTTTTTTTGGTCTTTCTCTACCCTCGTCGCCATCCACATTCAATCTCATTACTTTTTTGCTTATATCATCATCATCATCCCTCCTCATAACATGCCCAAACCACAGTAGTAATAATTACTAAAATATCAATTATCAAATTTTTTCAATCACCGTAACTTGCAGTCAAACAATACAACTGGAATACTTAACTCTAAGGGTCAAAAGTTTTTAGTTAATAAAAAAAAATAAGTTTAAAAATATTTATTCTTTTATCTTCGTTTCTTCTGTCTAGAAATTCAGATCAAAATTGTTTATCTACTACACCTTATAATGTAGAACAAAAATGTTATTCAATGCTTTTATTATTTTTAAGGAGAAATATTTACAAAAAACACTTCCTAGAAAATTGACATAACCATTTTCAATACAAATAATTATGTACCTAATTTAATAATAATTCATATTTTAAGAAAATTAAGTCGCTAAGGCTTGTATTATAACACAAGATTATACTAAAGCTTCAATCTTCCATTTGGTCAATTGCAAAATAATTATTGAAATGCATATAGATTCAAAAATTTTATTATCTCTGCTTACCACCATAGGTTACAGAAATGAGTTAGTACAATTTTATTAACTAAATTATAGATTTTAGATTGCTAGATATCTGATAGGTAAATCTAAACACATATTCCTATAGAACAATCCATTCATGCCGCTTATTGGATTAAAATATCTTCTTAATACTTCTCTTACTTCCGGTACAGTAATAGCTGGTACACCTTCGTACCCTGATTTTATATAAACCGCATTATTTAAACTAACCGGATTACAGAAATGACCACCTTCAAATTTACTAAATGGATCTCCAATCTTCTTTTTAGCATCTTGTCTGATCAAAAATACAGCATCAACAATCTCCGCAACGGTTTCATAAGCTAAGAAGCATAATACTTCTAAAGCAGACAGTGTAATCTTTAGTTCCTTATTTGGGTTTAACCATTTTTCTAATTTAGCAAAACCTTTGCCTATCGCATAACCTGATCTAAATGAACAGCATCTTGCTTTATGATATGCTTCATATTTCTCAAATGACATAGATTCAGTTATTTTAGCAGCTCGTACTTTTCTCAAATAGTCAATAGCATCAAATTTAATCTGACTCACTTCGTCCGCTTCGTCAAACTCTTTTATACACTCTATATGTGTTCTCTTTCTTTTCAACATTGTGCCCTTGTCATCATCAAGAATAATTCCAGAAAGTAATGAATCTGATACCAAAGTCCCCTGACGGGTTTTATCTATATGATCTAATTTCTTTTGGTAATCATACAATCGTTTCATTTTTAATTTATTTTTACGCATCAAATATATTATTTCGTAGTTCGTTATAACTTTTGCTCCACGGTTCATTGAAAGATTAAAAGCCTCTTGAAGCATTGAACGAAGCTGATTTAAAACTATGCTCTCAACTAATACTACGGTAGCAGCATTTGGATTAGGATTGTCGCCTAAACCGTGCATCATATTTGATATTTCCTTTTGAAAATTTGTTACTTCACTAATAGAATCAACAGTAAAGTAGGACACCATTTTTGTAAATTAAATAAGTTTCCAAATAAACTTTATGCTTAAAACAAAGCGCTTCGATGAAAGACAGATAAACTTAAATATAAAAGTCAAATTATAATTTGTGATTTTGTGATTTTTTTTAAATTTTATTATGAAATATGTCACACGTCAAATGTGACAGTGACACTGACGTTTGGAGACGGACGGAAAATCTGATTGGTGACCAGGTGACATTTTAAATGTACATTCCATTCAAAGAATTAATTAAATTTTGGAATCTGCCTATTCTATTTAAACTGAATAACAATTTAAATTACAGTTAATTTAGTTCCTAAAATAATATTTAGAAAACAATTTACCGAAACACGAACTAGTTTTCTGCGTACCCAAGAAACTTGCTTGTGATAATTTATGATCAGCTGATTTCTTTCAACATTGACATTTGACAACTTCACAATTTCACAATCATAAACAAATTAATGATGTTCGAAAATTCGAGGTTATTAATTTATTGACTTTGATTATTATAAGATTCACTATTACCTGTATATAGTTATCTGTAATACTTATTCGGATAAAGACTAATTAAGAAAACTAATTCTGTTCATATAGTTATTATGTAATTGTTACCGACAATAACTTCCACAAGTGTTCAAAACTATCCGACAACTTTAAATATGGCTTTTCGTTATATTCTTAGAAATATAGGGGTTAAATCAAATATAATAAATCACTATCGATATATATCCTGTTGGTCATGTGGTACTGATATAAATAATTCAGTTGTGAATTTGTTTTGTTCGAAATGCAATGCTTTACAACAACCTGATAAAAATGTAAGCTACTTCAAGATTATCGGTGTAAACGAGACCTACGATTTAGATGAAATTGAACTTGCGAAAAAGTTTAAGGAACTTCAAAAATATCTTCATCCAGACAAGTATGGTAATAAGTAGGTATACTTTTTGTTCATAGCAATTGATCAAATCATCCTATTTCAATTAAAATGGATTACCATTTTCCCATTAAATTCACTTATATTTGACTACTACCTGTCGCCTGTGACTGTCCGCACAGAAATAAACTTGATGAGTAGCCTATGTGTCCTTCTAGATTGTGTTTAACATCATCCAAACATTCACATTTATAATATTAGTAAAAATATATCTACATCTTTTATCACCAAAATGAGCAATGTTATTACTAAAAAGTAATCTAAACTAAAATTAAATAAGTTTATTTTGTTATATTACAAATTCAAGGTTACATTGTTATTGTCAATATAATACACATGTTATGTTTTTTACAGATCAAAGCATGAACAAGAAATATCAGAACAGTATTCATCATTAGTAAATGAAGCATATAAAACCTTATTGGAGCCATTAGCAAGAGGTAACAAATATAAATAATCTTTCATATTATATGCAAAAGCAAGCAATATAAAAACTATAGCTGGTGTCCCAAAGACTCCTCCTGGACTGAGACATCTTGTGCGGACTATGATCCTGCAAGACATACCGCCTTAGTACATGACACATTATGGTTAAAAATATATGAACGCTTGTATTGTCACTACACAACTAACCCGAGTTATTTAAATTTTTAGTTTAGCTACTAATAAAATATGGATTTCTGTTTGAAATATAGTTGAGTCCAAAGCAATATTAGCTGCACTATTTTATATTATATGAGGTTTAGTTTTTATTATAATTTTAGGTATTTACATGTTGAAACTAAGAGGTAAAGAAATACCAGAAAATACAGAAGTCGATCAAGAATTTCTAATGATGATTATGGAGAGAAATGAAGAAGTAGAAAATGCAGACTCGGAGGAAGAAATTATGAAATTGAACAAAGAGAATAAAACAATAATAAAAGATTTACAGAAAAAATTGTCCAAAGCATTCTTTGATGGTGATTTAAATAGAGTTACGAAGTTATTGAGTCAAATGAAGTATTACACAAGTATAGATAACCAAATACAAAATGTAATTCGTAATAAAGGCATTATTAGATAGTTTCTTTTTGTTATTAATTATAATTATTTGCATATGTTTTGTTTGTTTTATTAATTTTATTAAATATTGTCCATAAAATTTGGTGTTTTTAATTAAAATATTTTATTAAATACGTGAACATATGAAGATAAAGTAACCACTCAAAATATTTTTGTCCCGAAGAACTTAACGCTTGTACCAAACCAATGAGGTTTATTTAGCGTTAAATATATGATTATTTGTATTCAAAATTGTATTGTTAAATAAATAAAAAAAAACCTTAAAAAAGTTTTTATCCTGTATGCAAGAAAGCTATGATTAAACGTAAAATTCCAGTGCCTTAACTATTGTATTAAAAACATTTGTTATGTTATGTCAAAGAGAATGAAAGATATTTATGGTAATAAAGATTGTGTAATCAGGCCTGGCATTTATTATCTTAAAATACATTTAGTGAATTTATTTTACAGTATTAGTTCTAATATAAGAATTTGCGCCAAAAATGTCTACCGCAATTCATGGATCGTTTTTTTAACGTTGGCAATTGGTATCACTACATAACGGGACTTGGAAAAAACAAATACGGGAACCGAGGATAAAAAGCTTTAATTAGTACATAGATTGGAGTTACGGGAATTTTAATAGGATAATGTGCAAACACGAAGTCACGCGAGCTAACGGTAATTTAAATAGCGTTGAAATAAATGAGAAATTAATATTATGATCTCATAACAATTTACTATGTGAAATTATTTTACAAATGATTGATGGTCCATATTTGCATTACCGGCAATATACTTTGACCGCCATTTCTTGATACTTTTTACGACGAAAATGATTTAATACTTTTAAAAGTAAAACATGGTAATGATTCAAGTCTGCTTCCAGATTATTTCATATTTTGGACATTTTTCACAAAAGCATACATATTAGAAAATTATGCGAACTGTCGCAAAAAGTTAAAAAGACAATCCGCCATTATTCAGGTTCGTGTTCTTCAATACAATCATTTTGAAGATAAAGACTTTAGAAATACTTGACCCTTGTAAGTGATTCACGAAGGAATTGCAAGTGACAGCTATACAATGTGAAGACAGCTTTTTAAATAGATCAAGACGTTTACGTCCAACTACAAAATATGACTTATAAGAACCTTATAATACACGTTAGGTCCAAGAAAGTAGCAGATGCGTACGGTTCTTTGAGTGCGCGTGTTCAAATAATATGTGTAAATGCAAGAAATATCACAGTTATATCTAGTAAACTTTATCTACCTGTAATGTGTGCTCAAGACGTTTTGTTTATATGTTTTACTTCAATTATCTTAACACTAGGTAAGTCTTTTCATCAAAACCCTTAATTCAGTCTAACTTTAAGTAGTTAAGATAAATCCCACCAGGCAGAATACTTTCTAACTAACAGGTAGTTATGATTCATCGTTGTGGAAATACAAAATGCCAATTTTATTCCATTTAACTATCTTACGAAGTTTTCCAATCCATTTCTACACCAAATAAAGAATGATATCTTGACCCTATCATAATTAAGTATAACAAACATCCTGTTTTAATAATTTCCTTAATTTCAGCTCAACCGCGACTGCCAATTGCTTTTACGCGCGTGTTAGGTGGCGCGCCAACGACAATTACCCAATATCCAATATTGGCCCAACTACTTCTAGACCCTTGGGCCACTAACCAGTATAGCCAACATTGTGCAGGAGTTATTTTGACTTCTCGACATGTAATTTCTACCGCTCATTGTTTCCAATACAATGAAAATACGGGAAGAAAGTAAGTAATTTATATAAAAAAGAAACTAAGGTAAAAAGAAAAAACTCACAAATATGTACATTTTCAGTTACACAAAACCCTACCATTGGAAGGTGCGCGTAGGCTCATCATATCGAACCAGAGGTGGGGTTTTACATAGGGTAAAGAATATAATACCTCATCCCTCATTCGACAAATATTACTACAAGAACGATGTAGCAGTGCTAGTGGTGGCTACACCAATCATGATGTCCAAGTTTGCAAGACAAGGCACTATAACAAAACCTGGGACTGATGTGGCTGCTAGTTCCTTGTGCACGTTGGTTGGATGGGGTGCAACTCAGGTAACTCTTAAAAATTCTACACATAGCAGTGTTATATTTAAGTTTATCCAATGTCTCTTAAATTGTTTCCATCTAGTAATGTTTATGTCTAATTACTAAACGCTTACTAATACTTCTACTTAATAGTTTATTATTTTTAGCGAGGCGGACCACAACCAGATCAACTGCAATACACGGTGATGGTAACAATTGACCAGCAAGAATG